TTTGAATAGTATCCAGACAGTAGTCTGAAGCATCAATAGGTTTCTGTGCAGAAGTCAGTGAAGGGCTGGAGGCTGCCTTGAACTGTGGTCTAGTTAATTATTATACAAAGTAGGGTGACTTCAGCAAGAGAGACTGCAAGAATCCCAGTCCAAAACTCCACACAACACTATTGTCAGGGTACTCTTGTGTGAGAAGTCAGGAAAAGTGGCCTTTTACACATCCCAGGCCTTATGAACTAACTGGGAGACAGGTCTGGAGTGGGTGAGACAATCTGTGCTTTGGGTGGGTATTTTGCTTCCCAGCTTCACAAGAAATCTGGGGGTTGCAGCTTTTTTGGGGTTTGACTTTTTTAAATCCTAATATAGATTATAAATGTTTTTGATATTTCAAATAAAGTTTAATAGATGAGGGAGAAGATTCTTAACAAATGCTGATCATAACATCAGCGAGCGAGAAATGACAAGTCATGGTGACTATTGGAGCACCAGAAATCTTAAAAAAAAAGATGCCTGATTTATTCTGGACCAGCATGAGTGGTATTTTTAGCACTGAAATATCCAAAAGTAAAAACTGCAGGAGGGAAATACAAAGAAAAAAGGGCAAGTAAAATGTGAAGGACCTGGAGCTACCAGTTGTTAACATGAGTTTGATGCTCTGCTCTCTGAGCAGAATTTACTTCTGAATACTAACTTTCATTTGACTCTGAGCAACTCATTTTGTGACAGACTGGCAATTGACTGGATAGTGCAGTATATTCTCCATAAGAATGTGAGTTGATATGAGAGTAACTCACTATTGAGCCTTTGCTTGTCAGCTTAAACAGGCTTTTATTTAGTACATTTACTCAAAAGAGGGAGTAAGTAAATAATGACAGGCAAAAAAAGCCCTCCTATGGTAAAAACTAAAAATTAAAACTCCGGTGGATGCTAAGGGATTCATTTTTCATTGTGTTAAAATACAATATTCATTATTGTCCTTTTAGCATTCTAAATTCATCTATGTCTGAACACAAAGGTAAAATCTTTAACACCCTTGTTTATTTTAAACCTATAACATTTCTAGAGAGATCTGTCCTGGCAGCCTGTGAGGGGAAGGAGATGCTAAAACCATTCTGTTTGTGAACAGAAAATATTCTTAATTCAAAACGTAAAGTGTCATGATTATTCTAAAGCAAGAGCTGCACTCAGCCTGTCATGAGTTAATGCCAAAGCCATTTTTGTAGCCACTATTCAAGGGAGAAGAGAAGACATGTTAATTAAACTCTGCCTTTGTTGAGGACATCAGAAAAGCTACTGACAAGAGTGTGCATGCTAACTGCAATAATGCATCCTGCCGTCGCCATTGACAAGGAAAAAAAGCAACAAAAGCAGCAAGTGGCTGCTGTCACACAGGTTGCTGTGGAAGAGAGGCTTGAGAAGCTGTTGCTTTGTCCATTCAGTGCAATGTCTTTGAATTTTTAGCGACAACCTCTAATAACTACAAGTCAGAATAATTCTTTCCATGGTGGAGCATCGCAGACTTGCCACGCTGAACTGTTCAACAGCAGAAGTCAAGGTGCAAAATAAGACCAATAAAAATCATCAGGAGATGTTGAACTGTCCTTTGATTTTGATCCACAGTCAAGTTTACCAGTTTGGGGTTTTTTTTTCCCCTGAAGCCAAGGTGTATAAAATTAAGTAGAAACAGTATTTTTCACAAAATCACCTCGCTGTGGCAGCTAGGACTTTAAGAGAATTAGTAGCAAAATATCTACAATAAAATCCTGAGAGATGGGAACTTTTTGGTGAGGTCGTCTACTGTCATCCTGTTCGTTTGTGTTTTATCATTTTGCTGTATTCTCCTGCCATTCCCTTTCTCTTTCATGTGGGAAGAAAAAGGCATGTGTGGAGAGAAAAGGGTAAGAGTAATTGCTGGTCTGTCTACCTGTATCACTGCGGTGGGAGTTAAAAAACATAACGTATCCAGTGCACCTGCGGACGGGCGGCATCAGTCTTCTGCTGGTGTTTCTGGGCATTGCTGGTCGCTCCTGCTTTCTAGCAGACAGCAAAACAAAAAAAAAAGTGTGGTCAAGAAGGATTTGAGAAACTCATTTGTAAAGCATCTGAAGCTGAGACTGTTCCGATAATATTATTAAGTGACAATGGGTAGCTAAAATGCTAAAGAAATACAGGGACTAGCAGATTTCTCTTCTCTGCTTGCTGCCCAGGTGTCTCAAAAAGGACCTGAAAGAGTCATTTATCTTTCTGCAAGGAGAAGAGATAAATTCCTTGCCTGACAGGGTTGTCTGCTTCATCTTGGAGATGTTTACCTTAAGGCTGTATGAAGTAGTCTTTTCGACTATTGCTTATTATGACTTGCATTGAGATTAATGAGCCATTTCATACAACTCCATCACTAAATCTGCGTTGCTTTTTGGCTAAGATAAAAGAAATACCATGTCTCATTGTCCAGTTCCCCCAGTTTTTTGAGCACTGTTCAGCTAAAACATTTAGTCATTATTTACTTTGATTTGTAGATCCAAAGTGCTGTGTTATATATAAACTAAATATTATGATCAAGGACTATTAAAAAATGCATGATTAAATTACTTGTCAGAAATAAAAGTTTTAATCTTGCTAAAGACAGGTAGGAACTTAAGGTAGAAAAGATGTTCTTAGGAGGGTGGGTAAAAAAGGTTCTAATAATCCACAGGGAAAAAAGTAAAAAGAAAGTTTAAGTTACTGCATTTCATGGGAAAAGACTTTTTTTTTTTCCATTTATTAGTCTACAGAGATCTACTTTGCACAATGAAAATATTAATTAGTATCACATTATTAGTAGTGAATTCCAGTTTTCAATGAAACATTCAAGTGAAAGAGACATGTTTTGGGACAGTTTTGTTCAGTTCTCTGACAAATGACACCATTAAAACTGTATACAAGTGAGATATAACACATGACTAGGATCCTCTGGTCTCATGCTATAATAGTTATTATTTTGCTGTGTTTGGACTTGAGTGAACAAATAAATGGGGGGTTCGTACCCTGTCTCATCACACACAGCCTGAAATGCTAGCTGAGATGCATAGCTATCCACCAAATTATTTTCATTCAGATATAATTTTGGATAGCTAGTAAAGCAGGGCTAACTTTAAATAATGCTTTTGGTGAAAACATAGGCTGATGATTGTGCAATTTCTTGTTAGAAAGTAGATTTTATATGTGAATTTAGAAAAATGAATAGAATGATTATAAAGAACAACTTTGAAAGTCACTTCTAAGTTTCACACTTTACCCTTGAAGCAGTAGATGTAAACAGCTGCTGATAGTGAGTTGACTGTATTTTGCCTTCCTATGATACTTCTTTGAGCTAGAAGTGATGATAAAGTATCATTTATTCATGATTCTTTGGGTGTAAAAACTGTTTTTCAAAATACTGATTTTTTTCCTGTAAATACTTTTTAAAGCTCTAGTTTTAATAATTTTTTTTAATATTTTTCTTTAGTCTTTTAAGATGCCTTTTTAACGTGTAAAGCAAAAATGTTTAAAATTGTCAATTTGGAAGTGCACGTGCATTGATAGGAATAATGCCTGTGTAAGAGGAACTCACTTCTCATTTTTAAATTATGAAAATACCTTTGAGTTGCCTGATTAAGTTGATTGAGACAGTACATTCAGAGAAAATACAGTTTGTTGAATTTATAAATTTTAAAAATATTTGTTTCTGAGTATTCTTATATAAAGACAGAGAAACTTTTGTTAATGTAAAAATTCATGGAAAGCAAAATTTGCAGTTAAAAGAAAAGAAAAAAGTTGTAATGTGCTTACATGTTGACCATCAAATGTTTACATTATTTATTTCCATGCCACAAAAGTCTTACAGTGTTAATATTTATAGTAACAGTTTTTATGGTATTTACAGTTTAATCTTATATTTTCAATTTAGATGGGTTTATTGTTTTTACTTTGTACTTTGAATATTCAAGAAAAACTTAACATTTTCATAATCATTTCATGGAACTGAGCCTCTATAGAAAACTTCAGAGCATTCCACTCAGAGGCAGTTTTGTTTATTAGTGTTTATTTTCACCTCCCCTTAGGATACTGTAGGGGAGTATCAATTAATACTGTAAACTTTGTGTTTAACAGTATTAATACCAATATCACACAGAGGTAGTGCTGTTGATTTTTTTAAGATGCAATGTCCTCTTCCTCAGCACTGAACCAGTTCTGCAACAGCTTAATTTGTGATTTGGTAAGGCACCGTCCTTGAGATGAATCATGAAGGTGTGGCTTGGCAGCCCCTGCCCAATTCTTGGTTAAACATAGTAGCTTAACTGTTCAGCTGCCTGAATTTGCCATATACTTTTAGCTTACTAAGCTTTTTTTCAGGTTTTTTCCTCTGTTGAAGGAGGGTTATGTCTTGCCCTGACCGTGGGTGTTATTCCCTGGGGGTGGAAGAGGGCAGGTGAATTGCATCCGCTTCTAGATTGGTAAAATATTTCGGGAACTCTTCAGATGGCACTGTTACGAAATATTATACCAGATAAGTTTATCAGTTTTGGTAGAGAGTAAGAAGAGACAGACCTTTTCCTCCAAGTGTCCCTAAAACTTACGTGAAGTATAGTAAGTTACTAACATGTATGAAATGAGTAGGGTTTTTTAAATGTTTTGTTAGTTTCTGTAAGGCTCTATACTTGTTGCTGAAGTCTAAAATTTTTTTCAGGGCTTAATCTGGTTTAAGTCTTTTGACTATGGGTGTTTGGGGTGTTTGTTTTTTCTGTGTTTTACCTGTGTTAATTATAATGAAGGATGTTGGAGGCAGAGGACAGGACGCGCAACTGGCCTAATAATACTCTGCGGCGAGATTTTTCTCCACCTCCACCAGGACCCACCCTGATGTAGTACTTACTTTTAAGACGGCAATGCTGCTTCACCAAACTTCCTCCTACAGTGAGAGAAGTAGGGATAACTCTTGGAAAAAGTTTTGAGGCTAGTGACAAAATATGTTTGTCTTTCAGATCCCCAGCTCAAGGGTATAGTGACCAGGTTATATTGCAGGCAAGGCTACTACTTGCAAATGCACCCCGATGGAAGTCTCGATGGAACCAAGGATGACAGCAGTAATTCTAGTAAGTGACTGCCCCAGGGGAATGTCTTAATCGCACACGCAGATTACATCGCTTGAGTGTGTACGCGCAGACACAGTGTTAATGCCTTTGGAGGGTTTTTAAATGTGTTTTGTCGAAAGGAGGATGGTTCTGTCCATTCGGAGCCTAATGACCGCCAGCACGGCTCGTGCAGGATGTTGGCCTAAATGTATTCCCCCTGAAGGGGAAGGCGTAAGTGCTGATGGACCTCAGGGGTGAGATATTTAGGCCAATGGTTTTCTTCCGGTAATTTTATAAAAATGGTAAAATTATATTGCAAATATTTTTAATAAAAGCTATATATTAACATAAATTTATTATCGTCAAATAAATAATAACCAAAAAAAAGAGATGCAAACAAAAATTCCTTGAAAAATCTGATCATGCAGGCCCTGATTCAGCAAAGCAAGTAAGTGTATGTCTAACTATCAAAGTCCTGCTTAAAACACATGCTGAAGTACCTTGCTGAATTGGGGCTAAAGATCCTACAGTCCCTATACCAGCAAGAGTTCCATGATTTTAAGAGAATTTCTGCCAGTGTAGGGACTGAAGCAGTGGCAGTTTTCAAAACTATTCCAAACAAAAGTCTTGAAAGGCCACGCGGGTTGCTGCTTTGGTACTCTTTTCCTATGGTACTGCCACATATTTTCATTCAATGGGCGTATATACATTTGATAACTTCGGCTGCAAATGATAATTAAGCAAACCTGTTCTTACTCTAGAAACAGTTGATTTTTAATTTTCTGTTTAGCAGAGAACATTTGTATTTTGTTTATTTTAATGATAATGGCATATTTAAGTAACATTTCTGTGTGATCTTGAGGTCTATTTTAAGCATATTTAATAAAAAAGATTTATCTTCTTATTATGCATATATAAATAAGCCTTTAGTTTCCTCAAAAATGTTGGAATTAGGCTATAGAAATTAAGGGATTTGAAGTTTCTGTTTTACTTTGGTTAGGTCTCTGTTTTATCTGTTAATGCACGGCTGTCATTTTTAACACATTTCATCAACAGATAGCATGATCATCTTTTATTGTTCTTTTTTTTTTTTAGAATTGAGAAAAATAATTTATTAATCTATTTTGATGTGTGTTTCCCTGCTTGTTTTCCAAGTGGTTCCCCCCCACCCCACTTCCTTGTTTCTTTTCTTCCCTCAGTGTGTCCATCTCTCATGCCCACTTCTGTACTGGACTAGATACTAAGACCTTGTACAGACGAGATCATTATTGCTTTTTATAGAAGCTTTGCCTGTATGAGGTCTGAGAAATGTGTCTTAGAGTGTGAGCGTGTCTCTCTCTCCCCCTCTACTTCTCTCTCTGCCCATCTCCCTCTTATTTTCAGCTTCAGTGAGGAGGTGTGTATGACTGCAACAATTTTGGAATGTTTTAATGTTATTTCTGTTGTTTTTTTTTAATCTTAGAACTCTATGGATTTTGAATCTTTACAAAACTAGACCATAGCGCCTTACTTTCCTCTTTTCGCTGTTGTCAGCTTTACAAATCTTCCTTTTTTTTTTTGCTTACTAAGTCATTTTCCCTTTCTCTCCACTCTTCCCTGCCTTTCTGGATTTCCATCTGTCTGCCCATCTCTCTTATTCTTGTTGTTCCAAAATGCAGAATGAATATTCTATATTATAAATATTTTTAAATACAGAACTTGTCCAAACTCACCCAAATACCAGATAGCAGTATTGCATATTTTGGAGAAATACTGTTAGATAGTACTGTCTTTTACTTCAACATGATTTTTAGGATAAAATCCCTTTTTCCTTAAAGGGATTTTTTTCTGTCTTTAACTGGTGTGATTCACTATTTGTTTCTTCACTAGTCCAATTTTACAATATTGTTTAGTAAAGACAGTTTAGACCATAACGATGCAGAATTAATGTGTTTGCCAGGAAAGCATACAATCTCCACCTTAAACTTTGCTAGTATACATGTATTGATGCTATATTAAGAGCTGAAAAGATGGATCCATTTGGTATGTTCATGGATATATGAATATGTGTCTGTTTCTTTTGTGCTGTCAGTCTTTCTCCTCTGTTCTTTTCCCTTTCCACTCTGTTTCCTTCCATTTCCTGTTGAACTTCTTGTTTCCTATTGCTTTTCTTTATTGCAGCATATTTTGGTTTTCCTTTTCTCTTTTACTTTAAAACAATAATTTTCTCACAGATAGAATTCCTAATATTTTGATCTTTTATTTTGTGAGCTCCTTATCTGATAATTTCTGTCTGAGGCTTACCGGTAAATAAGTTTCGGCAGCTGCCAGAGGGGGAAAAATCCTGCTTCTGACCATGGAGCTTGCAGGCTGCCTATTTAATGTGCCCAGTGGGCAAAGGGATGGACGTGTATTAGCTGTCAATAGGACAGATAGTAGGCTTACCTTGATTGTGAGCATGACTTCCATTTGAAGCGTGTTTCATAAAAATGGAGGAAATACAGACTGCCGAAGGGTGTGCATCTCTGCCAGCCTTCCACCCGTCTGCTGCACTATTCACTGTCCCTGAAGCCCGTGAGAGAGTCCTCCTCGTGCACTGACCACCTGAGTAGCTGGCTGTCAGAGAAGCCAGAGTGAGTGAGTAGCGGGGGGACAGAGAAGTGATTTCTTTTTTGTCTTCAGCAAGGAACCTGTTTGAAGCTTAGTCATGCTGCTACTTTTTGTGCTGTTGCAATTTATTCTGTGTCAAGCAGTTAGAGGAGTGCTTGAAGTTAAAATTCCCTCAAGTGCATATATGATTTTGTACTTATTTTATATGTATGACAGTAAACATAATTTACACACTATTGGAGTCACAGTGTTATAGAGAGGTAGCGTAAAGTAAGATTAAGGCGTAGCCTGTTCAAATTGAGTGGTTCTGTTCAAACCCATTTTTTGTTTGTCTTTAAAGCTTCTTGGTAGTCTCTTTAATGTGACTTTTTGCTTCCATCTGAAGTCAAAATGAGTTTTAAGAGTGGTGTCGGTCAGCTGCTGTAGTGCAAGCCATTGTGCCGGCTTCTTTTAAGTTTGAGTAAAGGCTAGAGTCTGCGGAGATAGATGGCAAGATTTTTAATGTATGGCTGTCACAAACCCTTGCATGAAAAAGGAAGAAAGATGTTGCTGCTTGTAATTGCATCCCTGAATGTACTTTCGTCTGCTCATGTTGGTGGCCATGATATTAGAACCCAACCTAAATAGACCGATGGGTTTCAGTTCATTGTTGTAATTTCTTTTTATATCTTTTCCAAGTTAGTGATGTTTTGTGACAGAGTACGAATTAATGCACCTGTTGGTTAATGGTGCTGAGTTTCCTTAAATCACATCACCAGACCAAAGCTGTTAGCTTAAACCATCTTGTGTGTACAGTCTGTATTTTTTTGCCAAACTTTCAGTGATATGTGGAAGGAGGCTTTATTGCATTGCTTTTCTTGTTTTAGCTGGTTTTTTCCTTCCTCCCTCTAATGCCTTACAGTTTCTGGTTTGTTTTTGTGGCTTGTTTGCAGTGAAAGCGGGAGTGACTGTGGTTAAAGCTGTAGGCTTGGTTACTGAGGTCCTACACAGCGTAGCTGTCCTTCTCTAGCTCTAATTTTCCTGGATTTTACAGCAGTTCTCAGCATTACTTGGTGTGAATGGAACTTGCTTCAGTGTTGTCCATGGGCCTCATCATTACTATTTGGGAAAAACAAGCTACGACATAGAAATTATAAAGAAATAGAACAGATTTCCACGTTGAGCTTGTGGTAAAAAGCATTACATTCCCTGCCCCTCCTCCACAAAATGGCTCATTTTCAGGCTTTGGTCTATCTTCAAAGTTTTGTCACATGAATGAAGGGTAGGTTTAGTAGGAAGACTAATTAATTTGGGAAACAGGCAATTCTGATTCTTTAATTTCTGATATTGAAACTCTGAATCTCTTAGCCCTATGGCTTATTTTGATTCACCTGAAGAGTGTATCTCAGCCAGCAACCACTGAAAAAATTCAGCATAAATTACGATACTTTCCTTGATCGGCGATAAACCTGATTTTAACACTCAAATGTTGCTATTTGTTGCCCCTTATGAAATTACAGTCATGTTTAAAACAGATTTAAAAAGCATTACTCATTTGTAGCCTTATTTCATAAACAGATAAATGCCAAAGTTAACATTACCCAAGCAACTTTGATGTGGCTGTGCTGTGCACATCTCTTGCTTAATTATGCAGCAACATGCTTTACTTCCTTCATGGTACTTGGTACCTGGTAGAGTTGCTATTCAAGAAATCATGCAACCATTTAACATTCCTTTACTTTCATCTTTTAATGCATGCTCCTAATGCTCTCTTTATATCTTCCAAATTGAATATGGAAGTATTAACTTTTTAATGTCTTTCTAGAGTACCTACCACTATCGTATTTTGGTTTGAAGATATTAATAAAATAATTTTCACAGCACCCTTGTAAGGTAAAGGAGATAATCAGACAGAAATAAAGCACATGAAGATTAAAAAACAACACCTGCAATGCTGTTAAATTTGGATTACTGAACTGAAATATTTGCAGTCTGATTTTTGCACTGTTTTTTACTGCAGTTTATCTTCAGAGAATTACACAGGCATTTAGTCATCTATTTACATCACCTTTGGGAGTTAGGTAAGCCTGTTTCTCCCATCAGTATAACCTTAGTCAGTGTGACAGGATCAATGGAGGCCATGTGCAGCCATACTAAAAAGTATGTTTTAATTACGTCTTCTGTTACATCAGGCAGGTAGAATGGGTTTACTCCGTAAGAAATGAATGGACGGATCTTTGAGTGCCAACCTCGCTGCACTCATTGCCAATCTAAACAATGTTCTGATGGAGTCGTCATTTCTGCCTGTAGGCCTGCAGATGGAAGTAAAGTAAATAAATAGTTGCCTTGATTTGATTGCAGATTTGGTGCTGTGGGAAGTTTTGTTAACTGACACCAGGGTAGCGCACATGCGGAACAGACAACAAGTTTATAAGCCTTAAGCAATTGGTCTCTAGCAAGCTTCTTGAGAAAAACAGTGATCTGTAACGGCAATTTTCTTGTAGCTACAAGTCAGTTGTACCTACATAGACTTTCACAAGGATATGGAAATATCTGATTTCAGGCATTTCAGGTTTCAAGTTAATAGACTGTGAGGGTATAATAAAAAGAAAAAGAAGTGTAGTGGGTTTGTGTTTTGCTCAAGAAAGGAGTTACTACTTATCAAAAAGTGAATTTGGCTAAAACTTTTGGAGGATTGGAATCCAACTCAAATTTGTTCCTGCAAATCCCCTCCATGACACCTAAAACAATAACTTTTTTCATGCCAGTTGTTCCTGTTAACCGCCCCTGGCCCCCATATTCTGACCTTGTGTGTGGTGGAAGTAGGCTTTCAGGCTTAGCAAAAAGGAAGAGAAACCATTTACATTTCAGTCGTGGTTTAGATGGAATGCAAAGCAGAGCTAAGGGAGCGTACACAGGCTCAGCGCTGACAAGGAGAAAGGGTTTTACTCACACCATATTTGACGATTGGTTCACTTGATTTCCCTGATGTTCCCACATCTTATTTGCAGTTGGATTTGCCAGGTTTTGTACTTGAGCGTGCAGCATGGGAGCACTGAGCACCAGGCAGAATTATATTTCCTGGGCTGTTCCAGGGTGCTCCCTCTCTCAATTCATCTGTGGACTCACCGGGCTGGATTTAGGTACATAAAGATTATTCAGGGATCTCGCTCCCCCCACTTAGTTTTGCTTTTGGATCATTGTCTTAATGATAGAGGGAAGTTGGGGGCATGGTTCTTTCTCACACACCAGTCAGGTAAGGGCACAGCTTTGGCTGTGCAGACCTGAAATGCCAGCAAACTCTGGAAAGCTTTCTGCTTTTCTCAAGGCAGGTTCCTATTAGAGTGGGGGATAGCACAGGTGAATCCTAGGAAGGTTTGAAATGTGTAATTGGGCACAGAAGTCCTGTTCAGTAGAGTACTGAGTACAGCCAGGTTCTGGAGGAAATTGAATTTCCTTTGGCCAGCTTCAGAGCACGTAAAAAACACATGCTGTGCCTTACTGGTGCATGTTTTGCTGACCTCAGTATGAAGCACATTGCTGAGTGTTTACCAATCAATAATTGAATGTGGACCGGCCTCCCTAGTTTCGCCCAAGTCTGAAAGATTTTGTCAAAGTTACTGAATATTCTGTATCTGCAGAATTACAGCATTTCAGATCGTACTCTAAAATTTTATGGTCTTAGATTAATTACAGGAGCTCTGACAATCTCCAATTAAAACTTGATGGCAGTAGAAGATACATTATATGCCTTCCTCAGTGCTTTCTAAATTCACCAGCAACTATAAGCAGCTCTAGTAATTTTATAGGTTGCATAAAACACTGCCGTGTTACAGGCCTCTATTTCTCCTTCAGTGGTGGTTTTTTTTTTTCTATCTTTGCTGATTTATTTTTATTGGTAATACAGAAAATTATATCTAAGTTCCAGAAGTTTTGACCGAACCACTATGATTTGGAGTTATTTTTCATTAGCAGTTTTCTATGGCTGACTTGTGTTCTGTGTTCACCTCTTTTCTTTATATAAGTATTGTTTGTTTTTCCTTCCTGGTGTCCCCTCAGTTGTTGCTGCCCTCCCTCTAGCATGGCATTCATATCCAGTATTCCTCCTGAAATTTCTTTTCTTCTAGAAAAAAACAAACTTAACTGCCATCTGAAACCTAGTTTTGCTGTGACAGACTCCCCATCCACCACCCACAATAGTGGTTTTGCTGGATTTGACATTGTTTCATTTGAGGGTAATGGCTGACTGTTTTTTTAACTTCCAAATTATGTTGAACATTTGAAAGCCCTCAAGTCATGCAGTGTTTAGCTTATATACTCTTGGGATACCTTGTACATGAGTGCCATATTTCACTGGTTTACATTTATCTTGTATAGATTAGAGAGGGAACCTTGTCTGTGCCCCGTATTTTTCTAGGGGACAGCCCAGTAAGATCCTAGTATGATGGAGACTTTTGGAAACTACAGAAATGAAAATGCTATATATTTGTGCTAATTCTTGTCTGATGTCATCTCTTCTATTCTTCTTTGTAAATCCATACATTTGTTTTCTGTTCTTCCAGAGCTCTTTTGAATATATTTTTCTTTCTACAGCTGTAGAAAGTGCTCTGCTACAACAATTCCCAGCTTTATACTGGCTTCGTGCGTTCCTAAAAAGATCTTATGTTACATATTCTTTTTCTGTGTGACAATGTTGAAGGAAAGGGGTTTTTTTTTTCCATCCACTTCTATCTTTAAATTCTAGTAGTCAACCTGTGTTTTTTCTCAGTTGTAAAGATTTGATCATCTTCATCATAAACAATCTGTGGCTTTGTGTCCTTTGACCAACCAGGAGTTTTTACACCTTGAGAAAATGTGCCTATCCACTGCAATTACATGACCCTTTTTCTCTTGATTTGGGATTTACTCCTGGCATTCTGATTACAAGTAGCCTCATGTGGTACACTTTCTGGTCACACCTATGGATGTCCTTCCTAAATTTTGAGGAACTCACTGTAGGTGTTACTGTGTTCCTGAGATCTGGCTTGGTGGAACCATGGTTCTCGCTGCATATGTTGAGCACACAGCTTGTGCTTTTGGTTTTCATCCAAGGACTTGTGAATCATTGACTCATCCACAGTGGAAAGACACTTAGCATGAGCTCTGGCTCATCCAGATCTTTTCTTCCAAGACTGTTTGATGTGTGCTTTGCATCTGATTTCCTAGTATGAGTCAGTAAACTTAGTATAGGTGTGTGCTGGCATAATTTTTAGAAGAAGAATTGATCTGTGTCTCCTACTTATATCACTTTTTCTTTTGTTGGTCTGTGGTGAGGCTGGTAAACTCCCACTCTTCACACTGGTCTTTTTCAGACACTAATCAAAGCTGTGGCTGTTTTTGTTATTACAGAGGTATATACCATTGCTAGAGTATCTGCTATTAGCTGGTTTTTTAATTAATTTTTTTTTCCAGAATTTCAGTCTTTGAACATGTTCTGTATTCAGCTCAATAGCATTTACACACATTTAGAGTCAAGCACATATTTCAGTGCTTTTCTGAACTAGGATAAGCCTCTGCCATTACCTGAGGCCTGTGCACTACTGCTTGTATCAAACATAGCATTCACAAAAACAAAAAAAATATTGATTTGAAATCACAGACCCCTTGAAAGCAATCTTTACTGAGAACACATCTTAATCCAAAACCATAAAAAATGCCTAAGAAAATAAAAAGCTACTTGCCAGAATCAGAGAGAGATGTTTTCTGCAGGGTACCTCGCAAGTGTTACCCTTATGATCAGTCTACATTGATGAAGGAACTGTTGGGCACTTTGACTCTTTTCAGATTGCCTGAGATACTCATGCCTGCAGTGCTGCACAAATGATTACAGTCCAGTCTGCTGTGCTTTGTATTTGCTAGTTAGCACTTGTGCCAAATACTGAACTATTGCAGGACTTATTGTTGGATAGATACTTAGGCTTTAATTTTAAGGATTGACTTTACTAAAAGCAAGATTTACAGAGTTAATTTAATTTTAAAATCAGAAAAAACTTATTTATACAGGGAGTAGTTTTCTTTCTTTTTACTAATGATGTTTATTAGAATATTGTAATAACCATAGTAGATTCATATCTGGTCATGTTTTTTCTTCACAGCGTTATTCAACCTTATACCAGTGGGACTTCGAGTTGTTGCTATCCAGGGTGTAAAGACTGGGTTGTATATAGCCCTAAATGGAGAAGGTTTCCTCTACACATCAGTAAGTATCTTTCTGAACTCTGTTTAAGAGGCACAGCTGAAGTTGAAATCTACACAGGAATGAGACGCATATTCACTTTCACGAAGTTCTATAATGTCTGTATATGTATATACATATGGTACACACACCTGTGTACCCATGTATGTATGCAGCATATCTATAAATGGGATACAGTAGAAATTACTGTGTACTATGTATAAAAGTCTGCATGTTAACAGTCCTAAAAAAACATTCTATAGAGTTCTTCTTCTGGTAGGCTATACTGGTACTGTGCAATACACCACAAAGATTATTATTTTCAATTAAATTCTCCAGACTTTTTAAGTAAAGACCTGCAATTATTTTCTTAGTGACTTGTTGATCAGAATCCAAAGGCTGCTCCAACAGTTACTTTTATCGATAAGACTAAGAAGTGTAACTTCTGTCTAAAAAGTCATTAACAGCCTTACAGTTTATCACCATAATCTTGTAATTGTATGTTTAGGGCTATTGATTTTTTTATTTCAGATATCAGGAAAATAAAGAGTTTTGTGAGGGACTATATCTTTGTAGAATGATCAAAGTTTAAGAAAAAAATCTTTTGAGTCACAAAGAAGACTGCTGGATAAAGTGATCGAAAGTCCTCAGATTGTTTAAGATATTCCAAATGATTTAATGCTAATCACTCAGTGTGTTGTTGTGAATATAAAAATCCTCAGTTTTGTGTAAATTTACTGTCTTAACCTCCTTTGAAAGTCAAACAGACTTTAATATGAACAGGCAGTTCTGTCAGATATTAACAAGGTGGCTTAAAGGATTTTTCATTACTATATTTTTATTGCCATCTATGTTGACTTTATTTACATAGTGCTTTTTCCATTTTTTATGTCACATAGTTCTTAATTCCCCATTGAGTTACAATACACTGCTTTGTTTTCAATGTCCATTGAAAGGAAATTGGACAGATTAACTTTCTGATGCCCTGAGAGAAAGTATTCTGTTTGTTTCAAATATACGATTGTCTTGGAAAAGCTAATTAGGAAGAAAAAACTGAACTAATCTTGAGTGTCAAAGTCAAGACAAAGAGAAAATTCCTTCTCATAAAATGTCTGCTGGCAACTCCAGCAGTATGATCTAAAACATTTATTTTCTTCTGTTCAAAATAAAAAAATTCTCTCACAGGAAAACATGCAATACTCGCTGTCAGAAGGAAGAAAACTAGAAGAAAAAACCTAGAGCTATTAGAGAAAATGCATTGCTGATTTCCCAGTTCCATCACTTCATGTGCGGAGTTCATTTCAGTATGATGGCATGAACAGTACTTTTTTAATGTGTTGGTACAGTTAAGAGTACATTGTTGCCCAGCACTGTTTCTGAAGTGAGTTCTCAGTCCTTCAGAAAGAAATACAAATTTCAGGAAACATACCAGTTTCCTGACAGGTAATTCTGCACAGGGAGGGACCCTGCATGGACGAATTCTGGCATCAACCAAGTTTATGTATTATTCTGGAAATGGTCCAAGTTAAATGAATGGTGTCATCTGGGGAAGGGAAAGGAGTGGAAAGTACAAGGCAAGATAAGAAGAGATGGCTAGATCCAAACTTTGAATAGATGTGAACCCAACCCTTAGAACATCCTCAGGTCTAATGCCAGTGTTCCTATGTCTTCTTTTTGAGCAACAGAGATTACTTAGGTTGTGATGAGTCTCATGGATATAAATAAAAGATTATGTATAAGGAAAATGTAATCCACGTGTTTAATGTTCTGCAGGATTCCGTATTCTTCATTGCCACTAATGGCAAGATTTTTGGACTTGATGACTTCATATATTCCTGTAGTTACTGGCAACTTGTTAAGTACTTCTGAATTTTGTTCTGTGAATGTTGTTATGCTTTGAGTGTATTTCACCTAAAGATTTCTTGGGAGAGTGTCTCAGTCTGTCACTTTACCTTGTGTGAGGTAAGGAAATGGGTATTTTTGAAATGTACTGCTTACTCTTCCTCATGCAGAGAATGAAAGATGAGTGACCCATTAAGTGACAAAGAGATGTGACACATTAGAAAACTCAGTGGAAGCCTTTAGTTTTGCTATGTCTACAAAATGATTTTCAACTTACACTTTTGTCAAGTTGAAAAGTAATAATATTTGGTAATCTAATGCAAATTTAAAGGTAGTGATTTCAAAACATCAGTGCTGTAATACAGGTTTGATTGTTTCATATTAATGGATTGAAAACATTGACAATACATTTTTGTCTTAGCAATTGCCTGCTTTCAGCTTAGAGACTAGTGCATTTGAAAATAAGAAGACAAAGCACCAGAGAGGTCTGTCTTCCCCCTGAGGATCAAGATGAAGAAATACTGCGTGCAGAATATTTTAAATACTGTTGTTTGTAGAATAATATTTTTAACCAACCACTTTCTATTACTGTCTTGTTGGTGGATTTTTTTGACTCTTTGTCATGGTTGTGTATCTGTTGCACCTGCAATTCAGAAGTTCTGTATTACATGTCATATATGTTTCTCCCTTGGTTATTCGGGGGAGGATGGGAGAAAAAAGTTTTCTAAGTTTCGTATGCCAACTGTTATCATTGAAAAAAAGTGCCACATAACGGGAATGCTAGTTAAAATTTACATATATTTAGATATATTACCAATTTCTTATAAACATTTAAAAAAAATGGAAGCATGCACTATAGACTAAGTAGCATTTATAGTCTAAGTTGAGACCGAAGTCCTGTATAGTCCTTCTCTGCAGGATACCTCAGTGCCCCTTTTTCCGTTCACAGTATGTGAAACCCATAGCTTGTGAGAATATCTTATGTGTTGACGCCTCTCTTCAGACATTGAAGGCCCCAACTCAATTCTTTTTATCATAAGCTTCACATGATGTTAACTAATTAAGCAACAGCACTGACAGGAAAGGTATTATGTGTGACCCTGCTTTCTCTGATATTCGGTAAGAGGAAAATGAAGGTACTGTGACAGACCAGTTTTACATATAGATTATCAAATGCAGATTTGCATTGTTTTCTTGCTTTGGTTTTTGAAAAAAATCTTTTTTTTAATGGTTGTTTGTGTCAGTTTGGGAGTACCTTGGTTTTTTCTTATTTTATTCTGCCATATTTAAGATTTTTTCAACTAATTCACAGAATTAGAACTAGAAAAGAAGTGCAGAAATATCATAGAAGAGTGTTATGGCAGTATTTCTTTCTTAGAACAGAAATAGAAGGACAGCAAATTGTGTAGGAAAGTCAGTCTCAAGAGCTTTTCATACCTATTTTGCCTGCTGCAGCAGCTGAGATTTGTATTCTGTCCTTCGGGGATTGATCAAGTCAGGGTCCCTAACACACACCATCAAAGTCTTGTTGAATAAAGGAGAAGAAAAATCTTTGGAGTTTGACACAGCTTTGCAGAATTCCTGAGAGAAAATACTTTTCCAAAATGATAACCTTATTTTTCAGTGCATTTAAAGTAATTATTGTAATACCATGATTCGTTATTTTCTATCATATAAAATATGAGAACAGGAGCCTTGTCACATTCGGTGCTCTTAAAGACTATCCAATAAGCTCACCTTTATTGAAGTTTTGGTTTATTGCATCCAACTTTATTTCTGTGTGTGTATGTATACCTATACTTATATATGTATATCCACTCATAATTAGGATGTATTTATTTAGTCACAGCTTCCCAATTCTAGGTGTATGTTAGTGAGCAATGAGAATTATAAAACTGATTTGAAATTTATTTTAGATGGATTAATGAACTGTCAATAATTCAGTATTTATGACTGACTTTATCACTGTGAAAGCTAGTTGGAGAAGCTAGATTTTTCCACAAGGAACCATCTCAGTTATTAGCAAGATTTTGACATAATGGTTGTGGACTTTATATGTTGAAGTCCAAAAATATGCTTTACTGCTCTCTCACCTTTGGAAAGGGTGGGCAAGATAAGGTTTTATTTCCAGGATTGATCCTGTCAAAATCAAAAGGAGTGGAACTGGCTCCATGCACTGAAAAAATGAGCACAGCCACAGGGATTCTCCATAGGGAACAGGTATTGCCTGCAGCAGGAAGATGACAGTGCAGTACACGGCAGAAGCTTTTGTTGGTTTTGATGCTAATTTTGGTCAACTCACTTTGTTCGTTAGTTCAACTTTCAGGGGGGCTGCAACTTCTTGTTTTTCTTCTAGGATTTTCTACTATCATAACAGGATGAACTCAGAGGTAAAACTTACAATATATTAGTCTGTTTTATGATTCTTATTTTCCTAAGGTGAGGATATGAGCGTCTTCTTGGATTATATCAATGAATTTCTCTCAAGAATGTATCTGGGAGGGTTTGGAAGGGCTATTGGGGGTATTTTTCATCCTAGGAGCAGTTTAGCAGGGTGTTACCAACATTTGGTGGCTACCAGAGTAAGGGAAAAGGGAAAAACTAAAACGTAGAAAGGAAAAAATTCCTAACTCTAAAACACCTTTACCTGCTTGTTCCTTCTTCTTCGTGTTTCCTTTTTAACCATTTCTTCCATCAGTTTTCACTGAGACCTGAGATGTGGATGAAACCAGAAAGGGAAGAGTACGCCTGTGATATTGTCAGCAGCAGATATTAAAGTCATAGCAATCCACTGCATGGTTTCCTAGTAAGGCTGATGAACTACAGAGATGCTTTAAAAGATGACTGAGCCTGCAGGGCCAGGTCTGAATTGCCTGGTCACCTCTTCCAGCGTGGTGCCTGGCTGGAGTTGTGTGCTGTGGCTCCAGAGCTCCTCTTCTGAGTATGGGGCAGTGGGAACCTCACTGGGAGGGTGTAGAGAGCAATGGAGAGACATGGCTGCATTTCTGGGAGGTCTTATGAACTTTTTATAAAGTATTTCAGAATTAGGGACAGCACACTACTCCCTTTGCAGAATAATCTTCTTGTAAGATGGGGGTTTGTGTTTATCTGCCACAGTACATGGTGTCGAGGGTGTTGGAAGGGTGTTGGTTGGATAGTGTTTCTGCGGCAGTAAGATGTCA